AAATATTATACGTGTGTAAAATATCTCTGGATCTTGAATTAGGTCTTACGCTGGACCCTTTAATCGGTGCAATATCTGCTGGAAATACAGTTGTAATAAAGCCTTCAGAATTAGCACCAGCGTGCTCTTCTTTACTTTCTAGTACAATCCCTCTGTACTTGGACAACAAAGCCGTTAAAATCGTTGAAGGTGGAAGCGATATTGCTCAAGAACTATTGCAGCAGCAATGGGATAAAATATTCTTTACAGGTTTTTATTATCGTTTTTTTTTTAATAACTAAATTGCAATATTCTGTAACTTTTTTGTCAATATGGAGAAAATACGACGATTTACTTTCTTGATATTTTTTTCTAGGGAGCCCACGAGTAGGAAGGATAGTTATGTCTGCAGCTGCAAAGCATTTGACACCTGTCACTCTCGAGCTAGGTGGAAAGTGCCCCGTCATTCTCGATTCCTACTCGGGCTCGGATTTGAAGGTTATTTTAGTAATTATTCTCTTAGACATTGTGTAAGGTAAAAGTTGTTGTTATGTTCTTACTTTCGTTTTCTTCGTGTGATGGTTGAAGTCGGCTGTGAAGAGAATAGCTGGTGGCAAGTGGGGCCCGTGTGCCGGACAAGCATGCATAGGAATCGATTATTTGCTCGTGCAACAAAAACTCGCTCCAGTTTTGGTATTAATTAGAACAAATCCCATGTCCACTTTCTTGCACCGTTTTTCATAAATTATTAAGATTGCAAAAATAATCAATTGTTGACTATTTTACGGTTTCGATGGCAATTTTCTTTCAGATCGAATCTCTGAAGAGGTGTATCAAAAGATTTTACGGTGACAACGTGCAAAACTTGCAGAGTATTTGCCGAATTGTGAACAAGAATCATTTCGATAGAATATGCAATCTTCTCGAGGAACCTGGTGTGGCAGCTTCCATCATTTACGGTGGTTCACTCGACCGAGAAAATTTGTTAGTACCCTTTTAATTTCTTATTTATTTATTTAAATTTTTGTTTTCGGAGGATTAAAATATTCGATAATTACAGGATGATTGAGCCCACAATTTTATTGGATCCTCCACTAGATGCTCAGATTATGACCGAAGAAATATTCGGGCCTTTGCTACCAATCATCACAGTAAAAAACCCAACTCATCAATATTTGTACTTTTTTTATTGAAAATAAATTTAATTTCGTCTCTGATTTAAAAAAACGTCTCGAATTGCAGCTCGATAAAATCGAAGAAAGCATAGACTTCATCAATGCAAGACCAAAGCCTCTAGCGATTTACGCATTCACGAACGATAAAAAACTAAAGGACCGAATCTTGCAAGAAACATCTTCCGGAAGCGTTACATTCAACGACACGATTATTCAGGTTAGGGGTATTTTCGTCATTTCAAACACTAATAAATTAGCTCTAAAGCTGAGAATGATTAATTCTTAAAAAATAATAATAATAGTAATTTGTGGTGCAGTTTATATGCGATGCACTTCCGTTCGGAGGAGTAGGTCAAAGTGGTTTCGGAAGGTACCATGGAAAATACTCGTTCGATACTTTTAGTCACGAGAAAGGGGTTCTTCATAGAAGCTTCTTCCCTGAGCTCGAGCCGAGGTACCCTCCTTGGAATGATTTTAAGTTAGAGTTCATACGATTGGCTTACAACTTCGATTATGTTGGATTATTGCTTCATTTATTGGGATTGAGGAGATTATTTATCCCTAATCGGGCCCGGTAAATCGTATAAGCAAGAAATCAAGATGATCTATATATACACATATGTATATATATGTTGAATAATGTTATGTGTAGTGAGGAGATGAAATCATGGAATAAAGTGTGTTTGATCAAACTTGACTTATTGATTGGGCTCTTACTTTTATTTTAATTTGAAGTTTTTTTGTTTTAAGAAAAAAACTAATAACATAATTAATAAATATTCATAAATGTTAAGAAAAAGGTGATAAATAAATTATTAAATTGCTAAAGTGACAAATAATAATACGGAACAATTTTTTTTCTACTCGTTGGTATTTAATGAATTTAAAATTTCAAAAGAAAAAAAAAACATTAATTAATTAATTATGGTATCTATAAGACGTGGCAAATCATGATTGGTTAATCAGCAGCAAAGATTGTGACAAGAGAGCCCAGGTTTGATTGGTCGAATATAAAACATGGAAAGGACCTCTCCCCAAATACTCCATCAATATCTCCTCCGCCTATCACCGCCGCTAGCAACCCATCATCTCCGCCACCGCCGTCGTAATGTTCGAAACCAAGTTAAATCCTTCATGCCCTTAACAGATCTAATCCTCCGACGGATTACTACCACCACCACCACTCCTCCGATTCAATTTAGATTCAACCACCAAAAGCCCTTCTCTCTAAAAAGGGATACAATCTCAATTTACCCCAAAACTATGTCAGATCAATCAAAAGAGACGGATATTCAACCGGGCAACGCCGGCGCAACGGACCTCGGAGAAAGCGGAGACGAAAAGCAGAAGGAATTGGAAAAGTCAAAGTCAACGCCGCCGCCGGAGAAGCCGTTGGCGGGGGATTGCTGCGGCAGCGGGTGCGTGAGGTGCGTTTGGGACGTGTATTACGATGAACTCGAGGAATACAACAAGCTTTACAAGGCAAAATAGATTAATCTTGTTTGTGATTTTGTTAATTTATTATTTTGCAATTCCATTTATAAAATACCTTAATAGATTATTGTTCAACTGGAATCTCTCTCTCTATATATATATATATGATGTTTTTTAAGGCTTCAAAAGAATTTGAACTGTATAATCACAATTTAAACTCTTTGCTTTTAGGCTTCCAATTTAACTAGAACTTATCATATCAACCAAAAACCAAAACGAAAACCGAAACCGAACAAAAATGTATACTAAATGCACACTACTACTACTACCAACTGGACCGAAAATGAAGTCCAAATTCCACCACACAAAGCAAAAAGAAGAAATCTGAATCATTAACCGAAAGAAACTTCCGAATCCAAAATCATTATATATACACAGAAAAGAAAGATTCAGATACTCTACCAGCTTTCATATGTATGCATGCATCCATCTCTTAACCAAGATGAAGTAAACTCTTACACCTCTCAATAACCCCAAAAAACAAAACCAAAAAAAAAAAACTAAGGACAAGTGGTATTATTCGAATTTACAGTATCCTTCCTATTCATCGAATCTTCAGCCGAAAAAACAACCGTGTTCTAGAAGCTTCTCTTTAAGCCACATGGACCAGACTATTCACATAAGCCAGATATTTGGTATCTTCAGCATTAGCAGAATCAATATCAGCCCTACTCACCACTTCCACTGACCAATGACCGATCCTTATTCTGCAAGAGTAGACAAACCGACCAACAAGAACCATCACCAAGTTCCCAGCAAGACAAGGCATGACCCTGTAATAACTCCAGACGGACTCGTCAAACCCCGAATCAAGATGCACTACCACCTTACACTTCAACCCCATCTTGATCCCGCTGTAAATCCTCACACAGTAGCCATTCTTCGAACCAGTAGCACAAACACTGATATAGCACAACTCACCTTCAATCTGTGTCAAAGTTCCAATACTGTCATTCGGTAAAGAGATAATCTCGTGCACTGCCACCCTCGGCTCGACAGGCAGTAATTTTCGATTCGACGTTTCCCAATAAGCAATCCCTTTCATGTAGTATCCCATTACCGGTGAAGGACAAGCTTTCCCCTGTCTCCACAAGCACACAGCTGTCCAGAATAGTCCATGTCTGATTTTCGGAGGAGTACATTTCGAAGATAACCACCGGCTGGCCGAGCAAAGGTACTGCACAGATCAGATGATAATCGGGCCTCATATTGAGCAGCGAAGGCTCGAATGCAAGTATGATTGCAGGTGGAGAATCGTGGTAGAGGCTATGTGGAGGGATCTCCGTCCATTTCTGAGTTGCGGGGTTGCAAACGTAGTAAGGATTGTTTTCTTGTTGGCCTTGGCAGAGGAGTAAGCCACTGCTAGAACTTAGGATGTTTGTTTGTTCGGGCAGAAAATCGAGAGAGGTATTTGGAAGTCCGTAAGCATTTTGATCGAGGCTTACGAAAGTTGGAACTCCCTGTTCGTGCTGGCAAAAGAAACCGGATAAGTTCTTGAAGTAGTAGCTCTGCTCGTGGACTAGAAAGGGGCTACTTATCCAATTCTCCCATTCTTTGGAAACGGACTTGAACCGGACGAGGGTTTTTGCAGGGAGGAAAGGGAGGACAATGTGCTTCACCGTGTCTTTGATATCCTTGTTTTCTTTCTTCTGAGGAAGAGGAGAAATGTTCTTTACTGCAGCTTCCATGATTTTGCCTCTTTTCCTTTTTGTGCTTTTGTCGATTGGTGTTCTTGTATCTGCAGTTACAGTAGAAAATTATTGTTACGACAAGCGCATTAAAAGATAATGAATAACGAAGCAAGCATGTGAGGAATCAGCAATTCATATCCCATGTAAGAAATCTGAACATTAGCAATCATTACTCCATGTAAGAAATCTGCAGATAAATAGCAGTGTGTTCGCAAATTCATACGAGAAACGAACAAGAATTTTTCTGGAAACTCGAGGAAATCAACACATTTTCAGAACAAAAAAGTGAAACCCTAGTGAAAAAATATGGAGAAAAACAGCAATATCGTCACAGAATTAGAGTGAGGAAGAACTTTCTTGGGTAAATTCAGGAAAAAAGAGCAAATTTACAGAACATAAGAAAGAAAACAGCAATATGTTCGCTAATTCACAATTCAGGCCTGAAATTCACGCAGTTCATACTTCATACACATTTTTTTTCTTCTTCTTCTTCATATATTACGATAAGCCCAATCGGCATTTTCAAATGATCCGAGAGAAATAACAATCATCAGGAAACAGAGTATTACGGCAAACAGAGAAAGGTGAATTTAAAAAAAATATCACGAAACAGAAAAAAACAGAGAAAAACGAAGGCTGCGTTTCACGCTCAAATAAGATTTCGCATACTCGATTCAGAAATCCATTCGCGATTACGAATTATCACACATTACGAACAAAAAATTCAATTCAAAATCCAAACAGACGAACGAACAATTGCACGAATTACATGGAAACAGAAAAAAATGAGAGAGAATGCACAAGATGAAGATCAGTAAGCGTCACCACTTACATTTTTCCTAATCGCGCGCAGAGAGAGAGAGAGAGAGAGGATGAGAGAGAGAAACCCTAGAGAGAGAAGACGAGAAAAATGCTGAACAAATTGTGGAAACTTCTTCTAAGTAGTGTGTTTGAATTGAATTTATACGGTTTCGTGAAATTTGAAGGGAATATTCCTTTTGACTCGTTCTTCGTCTTTGTATTTATATGGGAAGTTACCATTCTTCCGTGCTCAACAAGTCATTGCTATTTTGAATATAGTATATATTATTTTATTTTTTTAAATAAATATAGTATATATTATTAAAAATTACACTGCATCGACTCTTGAGCTGACTCGATAAGAGCTCGCGGTTGAAGTCCATTTAAAATTGTGAGTTTGAACGAGTTCATGAATATTCCGTTTGAGATCATTTAAAATCGAGTTCGAGTTTGAGCTCGAGCAACTATAATATAGTTTGAGACTGAGTTCAAACTTATAGAAATTTAATCAAGTTAGTACAATTCAATGTTTCATTAAATTGTACTATTTTTACTTGTCTTTTATCACTTTTAATTAATTAACAAAAAAACAATTAATCATAAGGATAATTTAGTCGATTTTCTATATTTTTTGCTATAACATTTATTTGTTTTCGTACGCAACAACTAAAAACGACATATAAAAGGAGGAGAGAGAGTAATTGATTTAGGTGATTTTCTAAAAAAAAAAATTATTTAGTGCCACAGTGTTATACTGAATTGTTAAAAAATATGGTACTATAAGTATTACCAACAAAACCCCTATGGTACATTTTTTTAGCACAACACAACCCCTATTCCTTTTTTCTCAGGGGCATTTTGCTAATAAAATTGAATTATAGAGAAGATTTTGCTCATATTTATAATAGAGGGAGTTTTCTGATAATTTGAATAAACTAGGGGTAAGAAATGAAATAAATAACATTTTATAAATCGCGACAGAAATGAATCTGAAAGGGAAGAACAAGAAATCGACAAAATCGTAATTTGGAAAATAAAAATGAATGGGTCTTCAAAATCAATTCAGCTACATCAATCGCCTTCTTCAATTCAGCTCTGCAAGCTCTCCAATTTCCCCAAAGGTAGAAAATTTCTCAATTTTTTTATTTCTTTTTTTGTTTGTAATCGTCTTCATTTGTTGTATCAGTACTTTGGATTTTGCTGCAATTTTTGTTTTGTTTGTAAGCAGGTGTGCGATTTGTGCCCAGAAGGGTTGTTCTGAAACTGAGGTGCAATTACAAGTGCGAGCTGAAGAAGGAGGGCGAAAACGGCGTCGTTGGAGCGACGATTCCGAAGATGGGATTCGAGCGCCGCCCTGCTTTGATGGCGGCCGTAGCTGCTTGTATTTTGTTGTTGGGAAACGCGCCGCTGAAAACCCTAGCCTCCAATTCACCGTCGGCGTTCGTGGAAAATATCGTCTACTCTAATAAGATCGCCATCTTCTCCAAATCATACTGCCCGTGAGTTTCCTTCTGTAACCCTAATTATTCAATTTGAGTTATCAATGTTGGATCAGATGTTTTCTTCAAATTACCAATGAACTGGCTTTTTTTTTTTTTTGGTTTTTTTTTTTAATTTAAGGCCTCGTTTGGTTGGGGAGATTAGCGATGATTAACTAAATAATTAGACTTTGTTTATCTTACCGTTTAGGGAGTTTTTTTTGGACGTCACGGGAGCGATAAAATAATTGAGTTTTCAATAGATTATTTAATCTTATCTTGGCAACCAAACGAGACCTAAGACTATTAAGGCGGATAATTTCTGATTAGAACAATTTCCTTCTGGCTTTTCTTAGTTAAATGCATCCTGTCAATCTTTTTAGGTTTAAAAATCGTTTTTTGTATCCAAACACTATATATTTATGTAAGCTTCGTTAATTTGTTTGTTATGTTGTGAGCTTAGATACTCTCTGCGTGCCAAGCGCATATTTAGCGAACTCGAGGAGCAGCCCTTTGTGGTGGAGCTTGATCTTCGAGGTAATTATTCTATTTCTCGTTTGTTCGGCTATTATTACCTTCATGTCTAAGTTCGAGAAGTGTGTTTCCATATTCATATTATTTTGTTGTTTCCTCTCTTATTTTTAGTTCCAAATTGGCGGGCAATGGATATTTTTTCACCGTTTCTCGATTTGATTTACATGCAGATGATGGATATAAAATTCAAGATGTTCTTCTGGAACTCGTCGGGCGACGAACTGTTCCCCAAGTATTCGTGAATGGCAAGCATATTGGTGGCTCTGATGGTATTATATATTTATATTCCGAGTTGCTATATATATTATATTTTTACATGACACTATTTTTTGCTTACCTTTATTGTTTGTTATTCAAGATCTGCAAGCTGCAGTAAAGAGCGGTGAACTGCAAAAGCTTCTCGAAAAAGCTTGATTGAATTGGTGAAGTAAGAAACTTGTGTCGCTAACCTTACAAACGCGAGCTTGAAATTGATGATTATCCTTGATGATAACCTGAATCAGAATTTAAACGGAGATTTTTGTCTCTGACTGGTTTGTAAAATCATTCAGAGCAATCTTTACTTCTATAGTAGATGGAGTTTGAGGTATAATCTTAGGATTGAAATCCACATGATAATTTATGTATTTTGTATGGAATTGTGTTTACCCTATGTAGTTGTATCTGAGAGGGCATCCAAGTAATTACATACTTATTTGCTGGTGTTCACAAATGCCCACATAATTTATTTTTATTGAATCTTGATGTATGCAATTATTCAACTGCATGATAAACCCTTTATTATTCATTACTTTATGGTAAAAAAAACTCTACATTAATTAACCTCAAAGGAGAAAATCCCTCAATCGGACAGTTTTATAAGATCGCGACTCAATCACATAATTTTTTCTCAGTCACGATACATACAGTCGATCATCGATAAATCATTAAACTAACATCATCAATTCACAGTTTTATACATATATTTATATATCTTTCTTCCGAGAATTACACGTAAAAAGCTTTTCAAGCTCCATCTGATCAAGAGCCAACCAACATGTTTTCGTTCTCTTTCGTACTCTGTGGGCCCCCCATTAATGTTTACAAAACTTTTTTCGAAGTTGTTACTACAGTTGACCAGATAATGCTCTAGGCTTACCCTTGACCGAATTCAAGTACTGGGAGACAAACAGCACCCCCATCACAATAATAAGACATCCAACGAGTGTGCTGAAGAAAAGTGCACCAGGTTGCCTCGTTTGGACAAAGCCATAAACACCGTTAGAAGTTACGAGAATAATATCGGTCAGACCGTCGTTCGAGAAATCAGAGAAGACCAACGAGTGTGTGGGAGGTGCGGGAAGATCGAGGGTGGTTAGTACACTTCCTCCAGGAGATAGTACGATGGCTTCTTGATCACCTGCTGCTAGAACTAGTTCTTGGGAATCGTGCTGGCGGAGTGGGAATGGTTTTAGTGTGGGGACCACGGTTGACTCGGACATTCCGGAAGGTGATGGAAGGTTTGACCAAGTGGCGCCTGTCGAGAGCTGCCAGTTCCAGATTGCATCGTGTCCGTGCAATCCTGGAGAGTATGATGTAACCTGGAACATATGTATGTATTACATTTTTATTTTACGACTTCAAAAAATAAAATTGCATATGAAATAGCCGTAGGCTCGTAGCAAGTACTATATTTGATGGGCATATGAAAAAAGTAATGTTTTTTTCTTTTTTGTCTTTTGAGAAGAAATAATTAACGTTGCGGCAGTCAAAATGTGTTGAGGGAGAAATATTTTGGAAGAAGAATTCGAAAAATAAAGTGATGTTAACTGTCAAATTATGTCTGAACGTGAGAGAAACTAAAAGTTCATTAGAGAGGGAGGAGGAGAGAGAGCATATATATACCTCGCCTCGGTTTGTTAGGAAGACAACATCACCATGACTTCCCTTACGATGCCTATGACCATCCTTTCTAGGGATGAGAATAGGGGATGCAACCTCTAACGAACTCACATCTGAATGGCGACCAAAGTGTCTGGAGAACTCTCCGTGTTGGAATAAATTAAAAGGAGAGTGATGACAAATAGAGGCATTGAAAAGCTGTTCTCTAACAGGCACTCCTGATGTTGCTACAGCCCAACACGGACGCAACACGTCCATTGATCCACTCACAACTGTCTGCTCAGCCCCATTTGCTCCAACAACCTTTTTTTTAAGGAAGATCAAACATAAATTTGTCATCAATTAAAAAAAATGCAGATTTATTCGTCAAATAGAACTAACTGCTAGTTGCCGTTTTTTTTCAGTTGTTTTCTTTGTGTCATCTTCATATCATAAATAGCCCCATATTCAACTATAGACTAAAGTCGAACAGCCTATAGCAAGGTGAAATTCTAAACCCAAAACAGACTAAATACCAACAGAAAAACTGAATTTAGCTGCCCAAGTATATAACTAGGTTCTTTTCCAGGCTACATGATAAAGAACTTCGAGAATACATACTTCATAAACATAAACATTCGGACAGAAAATCACCTGGACATGATCTAGAACGCCATCTCCATTAATATCAGCATGAAGGCCACCTTCTTGAAGATGTAGCTGGATGGATAAGTATATAATATTCCATGTCAGATAAGTTCTTACGGGTAAAAATAAATACTAGTGCTCTACTGATTCAGTCAACTTCAAATTAAAAGGAAGGGAAAGTGTATCTTGCATGTGCCCAAAGGTTTAATTTCAGAAAAAAATATAAATATAAAAATCTTTTTTTGGTTCGAGATGTTACAGTAACTTAAGCTTGCTCTCTATCTTTGATTTTTCACCTTACATAGGGTACGTCCAGTTGCCAAATGAACAGCTTCAATCCCTTCCTTTTCATGAACAACGACAACATTAGGTACCCACCAGAGCTGAGTGTAATTTGTTATGGTAGGTATATAAGGCAAAGGCTGCACAATAAAGTAAAATGAAGTAACTAGTAACAGTTATCAAAGATATTGGCCGAAAAGCCAAATGATAATATAAGAATGATTAGCAGCAGAGATTAAATGTTCAGACACACCAAAACGAATTGCAAAACTTAGCATATCGGACAGATCATTCTGATTGAAGTAACAATTAACCAATTCGGCATATCTTCCTTCAATTTGCTAAAAGAAATAGCGTAAAAAATATCTAAAACTTTTAACTTTTATTTTAGACAAGACTAAGTTTTCTTTGGTACAACGTTCCTTTATTAAGTACAAATGGGTTTCATATTGGATATTACCCTCATTGGTCATGCAGTAGCACAACAATCAAGTTAAAAATGATGAAACGTCGAGTGTTTATTCTGAGCTAGGATAGACTAGTGAAAGAAATCAAATCAATTTTGCAAGAAACAATCATCCTAACAAAAATTAAGTGGACGAAAAAGAGAATATTTTCTCAACGAACTAGAGAAATCTGAAATCTTACCTTCTTTCCCTTTGCTGATTTAGCGATATTAACTGCCTTGTCAATCACGTTTGAGACTTTTTTCGACACATCCTTTCCAGGAGACTGTTTTTCTTCGGGCTTGTGATAAGGGTAGTTGGTGGGCTTGCCGGGTACTTTTTTCAATGTTTTCCTCTTGTGACGTCTGAAATGCGCTAGCTGAAGCACAGTGTCTTCCCGGCGATCCTGATAAGATATAGTAGCACAAATTCAGGATCAGAACTAGGTGGCTTTATAAACCGTTTTGTTCCCAATTGAAGAGAGAGAATTTGAACACCGTACTTACCCACTGATGTGGCATGACACCAAGAATGGATTCTCTGAACTCCCTGCATTCAAACTACAACAGAAAACCTTTAGATGAACTTAAATGAAAAAAAAAATGCATCACCACAATTTATTTATTTTAAATATAATGACCACTGATGTTTCAGATCATAAAAAAATGCAGAGAAAAGCTGCAAATGGAATCAGACAATAGTAAACAAAAAAAACAAACAGATACAATGCTAGAAATGACCAGAACAAATAATCTAAGGATAAACCAGGATTATTGTGTCGCCATGCCATAATGTAATAGCTTCTCGAGAATATGAAAAAGACTGTCGAGTTGAAAAACCTAAATTCAAATAAAATAGCAAGGGTTCGGGAAATTTGATTCCCTTTTATCAAATTAAAATTACCTGAGCACTTAAAGGCTCAATCCTCTTCAAATCTTATAACTCAAAGTTACTTGCAGAAAGACCTAAAAATCCTTTTTCCAGCCTAAAAACAATGTATTTGTCCCATATTTAATAAACTTAATATAAGCAACTAATATCCTATCAAAAATAAAATTGCATATATTTTGGAGTACAAAAGTAGCATACATCCTGCATTCGTTCTCGAAATCCTAAAACTTCATTTTGTCAGTCCAAAAAACTATTTATCAACTCGATCAGAAACCATTTTCTACAGTTCAATGAGGAAAAGTAAATTTATCTTCTATCAATTCTTCTTTACACATCAATAGCATTCACTATCTCTTTCAAGAGAAGTAGATTTAATCTGCCTTCATCAAGTCATAGATGAATGAAACAATAATCAAAGAGATATTTCAATTGAATCTTTTACTATCTTACACAGCATACCTCTCCAGGATGACGAGTATTCAATGCATGAACATCAAGCTTGTAATTGTGCTGTGGAATCAAGTGTGATGCATCAGATGATTGAGCTTCAATGTTCTGCAAGACCAGAAAGTCGAAATCAGCAAGGGATATATGCACATAAAGAAAAGATGAAGAAAGCAACAAAACAACAAAAACATTAGTAAATCAAAAAATATATATAACCTCATTCTTTCTGGTCCATCGCAATTCACCACTTCGACCAGCAAATGCATAAAGAGCAAAGTGACGCAAGTCTACTGTTCCTGCATTTTCAGACGCCTGAAAGAAAAAGCAACAAACGATTATGCATTATCTATAAAAATGAAAAACATGACTAACAATCTACAAAATTCACATTAAGAGATTACACATAATTGAAGTTTAAGACATAAACAAAACAATAAAAATACAAGATCTCCAACACTTGTGGAAGTTCTTACTCATTCATTTGAGTCAATTTCTTATGCACTACTTGCGGGCTGCAGCCCATAATAATCCCGATCGCATATTGTCAAAGAAAGGGCCAAAACAATGAAATGCTAAGGGGAAATTACTGGAAGTAAGATCTAATGCGATCCATCAGACTTATGTCAGGCTATAATCTAGGATAGCATCACCACAACATAGAATTGTTTGATTGATTACACAGTACTTATAAAAATAATTTCAAGCAAGCAACTTGGCAACAGAAAGATGACAATTGTTCTTACATCCTTTTCGGTGGCACTTCTTCTATGCTCCTCAGCATTTTTCTCCAGCATTTCAATCTCCTCAAACGGATCTACATGCATCTGGAGGGGAAAAATGAATCATTATTATAAATAGATCCAGATATTTTTCTCCTGCAGGGAAAAGGCACCGACCTAGAACCAGAAAACAAAGAATTCTAAATGGAGAAACTCGCAAGTGCAAAGCATTGGGAAACTAATCAAGACAAAAAAGAGGAGCATATCAAGATTTTCCTGGCAAACAAAAGAAATGGTAGAGATGAACCACCATTCCAGAACTCAACCAATTATCACAACAAATAAAAGGACCGGGAAAACTGCAGGGGCTAGTAAACAGAGTAGCCAAGTCACTTAAAAGGTAAGCGACAAAAATGTACTGAGATCTTTGTTTGAACCATGATCTCAAATAATCTTATATAGGCTTACATATTCAGATACATGTACATGCATTTATTGTTATCAGCATATGTTGCTGTAAGAAACTCAATATGTTGGCATCATAAAGGAAAGTCTCGTATGTTCTGGAAGTGCACAACTAAAAGCATAACTCTACTTTTGGATAAAGTAAATAGAGAAAGGATAAACAACATACATGAGGCTGCATCTCCATCCTCCCACCAACAATTATCAAGCCTGAATCTCCATGTCTCAATGTATAGTTGCTAATCGAGATGGCAATCTCTCTATGATGAGCATTATGAGGAAAATCCTTCTGTGAAAGGATTAGTAGTAAAATAAATCTGACCCAGCTAAATAACAAAAGTATAAGAACAGTCCAAAGTAGGTCTCCTTGTGCACCTGTAAATTTACTTCCCACAGCTGCTTGAGGTTGTGATCGAAACACATCACAGACCAGCCTGATGTTACAACAACTAAGACCTGCTTCCTTGGTTCCCTGTTATTGTAACTCTTTTCAATAACTCCAGTGGCCATTGCCACAGCACGCCTCCCTGTAGCTATGCGGAGTTTATCAGGTAATAGAGAGACCTCTGCCAGCACACGTGCTTCACTAAAACCTTCATCCACACGCCTCACATGGGGTTCCAAGACCTAAAAGCATAACCAACTTCCGATCAATTCCCAGACAAAAAATATAAGTTTTGTCGCTGGAGTTACAATTAGAAGCATAAAAATAAACACGCAAAAATAAAGGTTGCTGTGATACGAACTTTCTCCTTTCTTCCAACTCCAACAAAAGATGACTTGTTCCATAGTGAAAAATATGTTAAACAAAGCAACATTGCTGTACAGCAATTATATATTTGCATGTCATACTTAAATTCCATTTAATTTTACTGAAAATATAATTATAATGGTTTTGGAGAATCATCCGTTTTGCATTTTTTGCTAATAAAGCCCCACAACAAATGGCGCCGGACTCAAAAAAAAAACGTGATCAACCAAGATGAACACTGTAATTATTCTACGTAGCGAGCGCTGGATTCCCAAAATATATAACATTTCACTAGTCCTTACATAACCCATTTTAGCTAAAAACAAAGATATTCTATTACGAACAGCATAGCACATTCGGTATTGTTTATACCTGCACCAACAGGGTCACACTCACACCCCACTCAGAAGAAACGTTTCTTATTGATAATCAACAATTATGAATTTATTCATCAGAAAAAAAAAAGGATTCACTAGAACAATAGGACAATTTTTTTAATACTTTTACCTGAATTTTTGCATCGTGAGTAGCGATGAGAACCTCTTTCCTCCCATCGCCGTTCAGATCGGCGACAATTGGCGGCGGCAGACGCTCACCCTCGTACTTAATCGGATACTCATCGGACAAATGGAACCACGCCTCTTTGAACGAAAAATCGCCCTCCCGCTGCATTTTCATTAACCAACAACCAATTTACCAACCACGAAAAAAAATCAAATCAAATCAAATCCATGAATACTAAACTAGGGTTTACGCAGGGTTTTTTTTAGCATGTTTCGCCCGCCCACAGCATATACCTGAAGAGAGAAGAAAATGGCGAAAGCGGCGAGCATCAGAATTGCTAAATCTCGCTTCCGCATCTTCACTTTCCAGAATTTCTTGTGCTATTTTCTACTGATAATAATAAAAAATAAAAAAAAGTAAATAATTTCAACTGATCAATTGCAGAGAATTAAGCTTATTTCATAGTCGTCATCGGCTCGTCTTCAGCTTACAGTCGGAAAAGATGCAAATTTTTATAAGGTCAACTTGTCGGGTCTCATGTTCGACCCGACTCCGAATTTTTTACCCGTACCATTTGCTCCTATCGGTAAATATTCTCAGTTTTGCTGGTTGCACCTTTAACTATTCAAAAATTGCTAAAAGTGGCCATGGAGAATTTTGCAAGGACAAAATAACCCCCAAATTGGGCCTCCTAGGTGTTTGTAAAACGAACCGATACGAGCCGAACTAGACATGGCCATTGGCCGGTTTTGGGCGGGTGAACCGCCGGGCCGGCCCGGCGGTTCACCCGGATTTAAAAAAAAAAAAAAAGCAAATAACGGCTAGTGAACCGGCCGTTATTTACTTTTTTTTGAACCCCCAAATTTTCCTATAAATACCCTCACACCCCAACCCAATTTCTCACCAATTCACTCACAATTCTCTCTACTTCTTCAGTATCAAAGTTTAGTAAAGTTCAATTCTCTCTTTTTGCATTATCAAAATTTTGAATTCCGCAATGGATACGTAGGCAACTTCATTTTAAATTCGAAATCTTTAAAATTTTGAATTTAAAATAAAGTTAAGTCTTTTCATTTATTTCCTTTTCTTTTTTCTATTTAAAAGTACTTCTTTTAATTTACTTTTTCATCAAATATTAAAAAAAAAAAAAAAAATCAAAATTTCCGGAGCCGGACCGACCCGGCCCGCTGAACCGTCCATACTACATGCCGGTTCCGGTTCCAAAAAATGTGAACCGTGAACCAATTTGAACCGGCCCGTGGCCGTGTCTAAGCCGAGCACATGATTTTTTGAACTTTTATTGAGATTCTAAATTTTGTGTTAGAGTTTGATTTGATAAGAATCGATTCGAATACAAAATCCAACTTAGCTTAATTTATTTAACACGTTTTATCATTTTTTTTATAATCGAGCTCGAACCCGAAATTCCTAGCCAATCGAATGAAAAAATGTGTTTAAACTTGGTTGTTATATTACCATATCAAATCTAATGTGGAATAATTTAGTTTGACTTTCAGCCCTATTTAACATCTGGTCAAATACATCATGTACATAAATAGAGCAAGCCCGTTAATTAAGCGCATCAAAACTATCGCGTTTCTTCTATCGTTGTGTCGCTAGTGTTTGCTTCCTCTGCGTTTCAATGTAAGAAGAAACCCTAGCACACTTCTTCCTCGTTTCTTCCAGCTGGTTCTCAAGTTCTTCGATCTACATTTCGTTCCAAGTGCAAAACAGTTAGCCAATCCCGTTGAATTACTTGTAAAACAAATTAATAAATGATTATGTACCGTTCGGACCAATCCAACTTGCTTCATCTTGTACTCCTCGCACCTATTTGGAAAGAGATCGAGCACGTATTACGAAGCCATGAAAGAAAATCGAGTACGGTCAAAATTTCAGACAACATTTTAGTTGTTGCGTATGGTAATGGAAAGACAGCAGCAAATTAGAAAACGAAACATCTTCAATCTTAAAGGTTTTTTATGGTCGGCAAATCTTCAATCTCTACATAGGATGAGATTATAACTACCTCATGAACAACTGGATATTCTCGTCGCATATCTGATCGAGTGTTCGTTTATCTAGAGATGTTTCTGGACGAGAGCCCTGCAATTTCCATTAAACTGTGATAAACAAAACAGAATACTCGTTCTACTAAACTAAAAGGAAAGAAAATCCCGATACAAAAGAATGAAAATACAAACTCTGTAGGGAAAGAAATAGAAGACTAACGGCTTCAGTTTCGAAAACGGGCTGAATGGTTGACGATTTGCTATCGCCACTAGTTCTGAAGGTGTTTCCACTTACTGCACAAGTCAATTGAAGCTATTGATTAGCAGGAAAACGCGATAAAGGTTAAAACGGGAATGCACAAAATTTCTGATAGCTGAGTAATTTGTAAATTACCCTCGTCATTTTGAAGTGCGGTCGATTTATTTAGGTAATTGATTTTCCTCGTGCCATCAGATACGTGTCCTATCAAGTGACAGTGGCCTCTCCTGGGTAGTCATATGAAATTGGACATACAACAAATCTTGAAATGTTAAGAAACGAAGGTATACACACATACACGTATTCAAAATGTACAAATCGGGGAAATCCCTGAAAAAAACGAATAGAGGAAAATTCGTCTCGAACAGATATAACATACATCAACAGTCTACCAAATGGAATATAGTGGTTAATGTTAATGTGAGGCTTTGTTTTTAAATATTTTAATAAACGAGTGTGGGGGTGGTGAGAGAGGAATGAATTTCTAAACACCCCGTTATCGGATGGATAGATGTGTCTGATGTGGCAAATCAAAAAGGCATTACTAGAAGAAACAGAAAAATCGACATCAATTTGTAAGAAGGCAAATATCCAGGTTTCAAGAGAAATATAAATCGGGTAGAACACGATAGCAACCACTAGTTAAGTCGATAGGGAGGGCAAAAAGCATTAAAATAATACCAGTACTCCATAACCATTTGTTTTAATCTCATCTCCAGCTTCACAAATAGAGTTGATCTCTCGAAATCCTGTTTGTCGTGCGCCGGTTCTATGAAATTTGCCTCGAGAACTCCTAAATACCGTAAGTTAGTAGCAGAACGAGAAAAAAGAAAAAGAAAAAAAAAAAGCATAATAGCAACACTTCGGATCAGTAAGCATACCAACAACACCATGTCCTCGGGAATTGCCATCCGCAGTGACTTTCCAGTATGGCTGTTATGACGTAAAGAACGTAATCGCAACTTAAAATATAGTATTCATATTAAATATATGTTTTGAACGGCAATAAGATATGTAATCAAGCAGAAATATGGATGACGGAGTTTGAATTATATGATTTATTTCAAATATTGGAGTAAAAAGAATGTGATGTCCCATTAACTAACAATGCATACCCTTATGAGACGATTTTTATGGTATACATTGAATCCGCAAACTCCGAGCGCAGGAGCCTCTTTGATGAAGCCGATGACGGTCTGCACGGTCACCTATGCCAACCATGAAATAGTTACTTATTTGAGGTTTCGAAACATTAAACCGAAAACAAACGACTCAATAGTACTTATGATAGGAACAGGGGCTACAAGATAATAATTAGGCAACTTACGGCCACCCCCGAGGTATGGCCAAATTACGAAAAACCCCTCTTGTTTGGGTAATTACAGCCATCCCCCTCCTTTTAAAATTTTTTACATAAAATTTATGTAATTCGGTTATTTACCAAACCAAATCGTATATGTAGTTCGGTAAACGGTATGAAATGTTGGCGTACCGAAATTTCTGTTCGGTTTTACCGAATTAACATCCCTAAATTTACCTCTAGAGGAGTCTTTTCGTAAGATAATACATAGTTGAGGGGGGTGGCTGTAATTACCAAAACATGAAGGGGTTTTTCGTAATTTGACCATAACTCGGGGGGGTGGCCTTAATTTCCCCTAATAATCAACACAAATTACCAAATCCATCTATTTATAGAACCAAAAATAGCATCATGCGGTACTTTTTGTAAGATATTCTCAACGCTGTCTACTGTCGAGCAATGAGATCATACCTCTTTTAGTGCCAGGCCACGTTGGGGGCTGTATGTGATTGTCGTGGAGTGTTTCAAGTCATCCGCAATGCTGAACTGCTCAACAGGCTTCCCTCGTAAAATTATTTTGAAGTTCGTAAACTTTTTGAGGTACAATATCGATGCGTATGCCTGAGAAAAGCCGAATTATCACTATTTTATATCCATATACAACACACAATTGTCGACAAATAATTTCAGACACATCTGCAACAGCTTCGTGCGTACTTCAAATTAAAATGAATGGTCACTGGAACCTCTTCGCAACGTGTTAGATAGCGGTTAACCATTTCTCGTGTATGATAATTTAGATTTCGATATTATGAGAAAAGAATATTAATTAAAGTATTACGGCTGCCATTACATATCTTTCAAAACAAAGATAGCATGCATCAAACTTTATCTTCCAAATACTTTTGTGCAGAGGCTTGTCACCCGAGACTTTTGTTTTCAGATGCACATTGTCTAAAACGTGATCCATGATTCTTAAAATAATAAAAATAAAACGATTTAGAGTAATACACCCACCCTTAACGAGAAGCGCATGCGGTACGATAAATGAGATTGCAGTTCGAGGACTCTCTTTCTGGATGTGTTCCCGTTATTAACTTCATCTCTCAACCGTATATCCTGAATTAGTGGCAGCCACAAAATTTCTTGTAGAAAAATGTCAATGTTTCAAACTATAGTCAGTAAAAGAAATGTAACCCATTTTTCCCCAACTTCAAGCAACAACATTCAGATTAAAAAAAAAAAAAAAAAAAAAAAAACGCGCCGCCACCAATCTGGCTATGAACACCAAGTCAAGTATTTCTTACACTAGAAAAGGACTTAGTATACCTCTTCATCATCATCGAAATTCAATTCATAAATGCCTTCATCATTCATCCATAGGTTATATATTATAATCTTCGTTCCATGTGATCCAATATTGTCGAACTGGAGAAAAATAAAAGGAAAAGGTCAAAAACGGTATTTACACATAGCTGATAGCAGATATGAAATACAAACTAAAACCTATTGGAAGGATATCAAAGTTTAGTTTACAACCACAGCTCATACTGAAATTTCAAGTACATAATTAAGGTCTTTGTCTTTCAAAATATTTCTAGAATACACACATATGTGAGTGTTCATTTTCCACACTACATAATCGAAGATTTATTTAAGGAAGAAGTAGAGGATCATTTTACACACGTATACTCATGAAAGACATTTCACAATTAAAAGGAGAAACTGCAACACTTGAGACCATAAATGTAATGAGAATAAATTTTCAATATTAAAAAACGAAAAGTAAAAAAGACGTATCCAACTGCATTGTATTTCTTATAAGGGCCCCCAACCTCAGTATCAAATCCAACTGATTGGGTCATAAAGAGAAGAACAAAACCTGTAGCATAAGATCGTCCTTCGATGCGAAGGGAGACCACTGAAGGATGGTTTTCAAGTTACCGGACCAATCATCCTTTGAGCCATAAATTATAGGCTCCGCCCAGTTGTCTGAGATATCAAAGTCGATCTGCATAACCAATCCAATATGCAATAAAACAAAAATTTATTCAGGTAAATCGACAATGCCAATTTCTTGATGTCAGAGAGTGCTGACTGTAGCTCAAGGAGAACTTCAGTGTTAAGAATCAAAAGTCTACCATTGGAACAATCACGTCATCCTGTCTCGTTTTCCGCAAGAATGTGTAGGATAGAAGACCAACACTTTGGGTTGCTCGACTGAAAGATGTGTAAAGTCAAGTAAAGAACGTATCAGTTCTAAACCAAAGAACAAGATTACATGATGGGTCATCGTGCGTAGCAGAAAGGAAACAACTCAAAGATTTTAGAGAGAAGAAAAATACCCTGATTGAGTTGCACGACTAAAAACGATCACATCAGCTCCTAGTCGCATTGTACTTGTTTTGAATCCATTACCATCTGGTATAGAAGACATAGTTTAAGGATTCAGAAACAGGAAAAAGACAATGGGGAAGTTCAAAACCACTTCGACGTGTATAAATCGTCTATTAAGTGGGAAATGATACATGCATGGGTATCAAGAAACTCAAAGAAAAGCCAGTAGTAGTTATCGCAGATTAGCAGAGAAGTTAATTACATTGCCCAATAGTTGTGTTTGATGTCTTTGAGGAGTATCCTAAGCTCATGCACTTCCGCATGGACTCGGGATTCATTCCACCCCCATCATCTGCAAACGAAGGAAGTTTAATGAACTAATTTTCATACCCGAGTTCAAGAAATACGTAACATAATGCTTTAAAAGAGGGTAAATTGAGACACGCGTTGCACCTTGGAAAAGTAAGGCAGGAGAATTGTCCTTTGCGTTATAAATTCTGTCGACTTTCACCAAAGTTGCACCATTTCCTATCTGGCGAAAACACGTAAAAGTTGTATCAACCAAATGAAAAAACAGCCTTCTTAAATGGCTACATAATTTTTAGATTAGTTACGACTCTAAAACCAGATACCCTAATAGCCATCATAGCCAAACTAACACAATTTTATGGCATATGTTTAATCACTAATTAATAAGAACAAGTCCCAGTGCTTCATATACGTACAAAACCTGTGGTTAAAGCTGCATTCTCACGAAAATATAGTTACTCGTCAAATCACTAAAAAGAACTAACATATCAAAAAAGTCAACTGTTCAATAAATTTCATATGGCCTTCTCATTGGCATTCAGTGTCAAGAGATGCACACCAACCCAGTACTCATTAAATTATAAAAATCAATTCGCCAGTGGAAATACATGATGATATTATCATACAAAATCAACAATAATTACCTCATCGACTGCATTG